AAGTGACCGTCCTTGTCTTTCCTTACTTTTGTTGGTTTAAAGCCTATTCTATCTATGAGTAAAATTGCAACACCTACTTTTTTTTCTGATTTCCATTGGCCTGAATTATAGATGTCCATCCCTTCACCCTGAGTCTATATTTATCTTTTCAGGTAAGATGAGATTCTTGTATGCAACAGATGTCTGGTCTGAGTTTCTGTATCCAGTCAGCCAATCTGTGCCTCTTTAGAGGACAATTTAAGACATTCACATTAATTGAGAGTATTGATAATTCTGGTGGTATTCTGGGTGTCGAGTTTTTAAAAGTCCAGTGGATGTTTTTAATCTTTTCACCACTGTGGAAGTTGGGATTTGATCAAAAGATTCTGAGTGAGTTTACTTTGGTAGTAGAGCATTGTGCTGGTCATTGTGGAAGATGTATCTGAGAATATCCTGGAGAGCTGGTTTAGTTATGAAAAATTTCTTCAATATGCAATTATCATTAAAGTATTTAATTTCTCCATAATAAATGAAACTCAGTTTACCTGGATATAGGATCCTGGGTTGAATGTTGTTTTGTTTTAGAAGGTTGAAGGTCAATAACCATCTGCTTTTGGCTTGAAAGTTTCAGCAGAGAGATCTGCAGTCATTCTAATATTCTTCTCTTTGTAGGTTATGGTTTTCTTACATCTGGCTGCTTGGAGGATTTTCTCCTTCATATTAACTTTAGAGAAGTTAATTATAATGTGTCTGGGAGATGCTTTATTGGGATTGAGTTATACTGGGTTTCTGAAACTGTCTGCTATCTGAATTTCAGTATCTCTTGCTGTGTTTGGGAAGTTCTTCTCAATTATGTCTTAGAGTAGAGCATCTGACCCTTTGGAAGCAACCTCATTACCTTTAGGAATTCCTATAAGTCAAATATTAGTTTTCTTGGAATTATCCCAGAGCTGAGAGAATGATCCATTTTTGCTCTCCATTTCTCTTCCTCTTTGAGAGTTTGGGAGAATTCAAAAGCTTTGTCTTCAATGTCAGAAATCCTCTCTTCTGCCTGCTCTATTCTGTTACTGAGGGATTCTGCTGTAATTCTCATATCTTGGAGGGCTGCAAATTCTTTTTTCAATGTGTGAAAATCTTTGGTGATTTTGTCTTTAAATTCATTGAATTCTTGAGATGACTTTTGAATTATTCCTAGAATTTCTAATTCCAACTTTACTTCCATTCTGGTAATCTTGTTTGCCATCCAAATTCTAAACTTGATTTCTGACATCTCAGCCATTTGTTTATGAATAGGATCTTCTAGTGTGTTTACTTTGTTGTTTCTTGGGGGAGTTGATCTACTCTGATTATTCATGTTGCCAGATTTTTATTCCTGATTCTGCCCCATGATTATTTTTCACTGTTTGGTTAGATGGGTAGGTAAGGTGAAATTGGGTTGGAGGTTGTTGGAGATATGATTCACCAGCCCTTTGCCAAAGAGCTGGGACTGGTGACTGCAGCTTTTCTCCTACAGCCTTGCAGAGGACCCATACAGTACTATATTCTGAGACTCTGGAGACCTGTTTGGTGTGGTGGGGCTAGGTGGCTCTGTCTTGTATTCTGCTGGTCTCTGTCCAGTCCTAATGAATCAGTGACTCTGGGTTGATGTCTCAGCTGTGGAGAATACAAGCAACTAAGACACCCCATCCTCCGCAGGCAACAAATGGAAGAGGAAAATCAAATCTTCCCACAACAATAAAACTAGGGTACCACCTTGGAGGGTCCTTGGGTGGTTGGCCCAGGTCAAGAGTTCCAAACCAATTGTCCCAGTCAGCATCAATTCTCAAGTGGGAGTGTTCAAAAGGTCTCCATCAACTAGATAGCATGGATCTACTAGCAGCTCAAGTGTGGCTCGCTCTTGTGCTCCATGGAGTCAGAAAGGCCTGCCCAGTAGAAGAGTTGCACCAGAGGGGCTGGTTCCCCTTTCCCCACCTTGTACCTCCTTCACAACCAGTCACTGATAACCCCACAAGGCTGTAGTCCAGTTCCCTCCAATAAGAAAATATGCTAGGGCTTTGTGCCTGCCAGAGTCAAAGGAAAGTCAATGCCTCCTTGGCCCAGCTACCACCCTCTGCCACCAGCTGGCAGAGGGAGCTAAACCCTGCCTGCTTTGAGTACTCGATGGCCTCTGAGGAGTGTTCTACCTGAGCTCAGTCCAAACCTGAGGATAACAAATCATCAGATGTTTTTCTCCCTCAGAAATCTTTGCCCTAGCCACTCTGCAGCTCTGGCAGCTCTGGTATTCCTATAGGGTGAGGTCTAGCTCCCTCTGGCAGTCCTCAGAGTTGGGGAGGTGTCTCTCCAAAATTAGACCACAGCAGGGTCACTCTACTATTACTGCAGCTTCATGGGAGGTGTCTCTGCATGGTTTTGAGATGGCTCCTTTGGCTCCTACAGCTCCTGTGGCTCTCAGGGGTACCAGGGTGATGGCTGGGGCACAGGCATGGTCACACAGGGTGGCTTGGTTGGGGCAGCTCAGAGGTTTGTGCTGCTCACAAGCCTCCTCCTGCTGCTGATTTGTACTTTTGCAGTTCTAAGCCTAGCAGCCTCCCCCTTTTGTTTGTATCCACTACTACTGTGCTTTTTGTTACAGCACAGCATCATTACCCTGGCCCTTCCAATGCCTGGTCCTGGCAATAAACCACAGACATTCTAGTCTCTGCAGAGGTTAGGCTTCTGGACACCAGGCTAGGTGGGAGGGGTGGATCAGGAGTTCAAAATGGCAGAGAAAATGTTTGTTCTACTTTCATGCCTGGCAAGAGAATGCCTGGGCTCACAGCAGGGTCCCTCTGGAGAAGTCCTTGTTTCCAGCAACTCTCTCCCATGGGGAGAGGCACTTTAGTTTGCCACTTGCTTGCAAGCAAAAAAAAAAAAAAAAGGACAGACACTCTTTTTCTTTGAGATGAGTTTTGCACCTGAAATTTGCTTTCTTGGAATCATGGCTTGCCTCAGCCGAGCTGATGTGCATTTATCACTCTTCTCCCTCATCTCAGCCCCCAATATTCAGCTTTATTCGGTACTTTCTGGTCATTATTCTTCCATCTGGATGGGAGCTTCTGTTGAAAGCTGGCTCCAGTTGGCCATCTTCTGATACACCTGAATTCAGTTTTAATTTCTGTGATTATTGTAGGAAGGGTGAACAATTCACTGTTTTATTATTACTTTTAATTTTTTGTTTTATAGGACTATTTCATTATTGGTTTTAATTAAAAGTGCACATACTAGGAATGTACATATAGATTGAACATAGTTATTTTCATATTTATTTTTATTTTATTAATTGTATATTTGTGAGGTACGTATACTATATAGCAATCAGATCAGGGTAATTAGCATTTCTGTTATCACAAACATTTATCATTTCTTTGTGTTCAGAATGTTCAATATCTCCCTTCTATCTGTTTGAAACTATATACTATATTATTGTTAACTCTAGCCATCCTACAGTGGTATAGTGCACTAGAACTTATTCCTCTTACCTTCTTCCTCTATATTCTCAGATTGATGGAAAATTGCAAAAACAATACATATAGTGCCCATGTATATTCTTACCCTAGTTCCCAAACATCAACATTTTACCACATTTAACACTCTTTAAAATCCCCTTTTCTTCCTTCATTTATGCCTTCTCCTTTTCCTTTTCTCTGTTTCTGTCTGTCTCTATAATTTTTTCCCTCTTCACCTCTACAAATTCATCTTTCCTAAAAACATGAACACTCTTTCACAAAACTACAGCACAATTCATCACAATCAAGAAAATAGCACTGATTTAACATCAGGCTATTAAATCTATGGGGCTCATTCTTATTTCAGTAATTATACCAATAATGTCATATAGAGCCAGAGAGAACCCCAGATCACATAGCACCTTTGGTTGCCACGTATTTTTAGAATCTTTAAATCTGGACTGTTTCCTGGGCTTTCTTTGTATTTTATGGCATTGACATTTTTGCAGGCTGCAAGTTAGAATTTTTTTATACTGTATAGAAAACACAGGGTTAGTAACAGCCACTGTTTACTCAGCACTTTTTATATGCAATCTCATGACAGTCATGGCAAGCAGAATTCATGTCTATTTTATTCCTAGTGGGGGCAGGTAGGAACCTGAAGCTCAGGGAAACACAGAACATTGCTGAAGCTGGCATTAGAATTCCAGGCTACTAACTCCAAAGTCTGCTCTGAACCATCATACATGGATTATACTATCCCTTAAATGTATCTTTTCAAATCCTAGTTTCCCCAAACAAAAAGCCTAATCACATCTTTTGTAGACAAAGACCTGTTATTTACCTAAAATGTTTAACCACTTCCTATAAAGTTTTTGTCTGAGAGAAAATGGCAGCATTACTATTTATAGTTATACTGTGAATTAACCTTCAACTATTTGGATAGCACAAGTTATATTTTGTGTAAAACATCCCTCAAGCTTGGTTTGGCTGATGTTCCCTACTCTTCAGATTGAAGTTCTGCCTTTTTAGCAGGAATCCCACAGAAGGGAAGTTTTCTCCTTTTCAGTGAATCCTACAAGAAAAAACATCATATTGATTTGCTTTTTGTTCCACTTCTGAAGCTCCTTGCCCATCTAACAGGGTTGTCACCATAATGGTTACTTCAGGTAGACAGCTGGGGCTGAGCAGGGTGGCACATTCCTGTAATCCCAGCATGTGGTGAGGCTGAGGTGGGAAGATTGCTTGAGGCCAAGCATTTGAGACTGCAGTGAGATAGGATCATGCTTCTGCACTCCAGCCTGGGTGAGAGTAAAACTTGGGGAAAAAAATAATATGAGTAGTTGGAATGATGGACTTCATTTCTTTTTTGAAATTCATTATAGAGTGAGAGGAGCTTCAACATTTAGAAAAAAATAACTCACTTCACAAATAACTTGAGTAAAAAGCATAGTCAACATTTCTATTGGTGAATGATGCCTGTTTGATGCTAACAGATGTTGCTCTTTTTACTTCTTTTATAGACACATCAGCTCCATGGAAGTGGGAAACCAAACAGGAATCACAGAATTCATCCTCTTGGGGTTCTCCGAAGACCCAGAGCTGCAGCCCATTCTCCTCGGGCTGTTCCTGTCCATGTACTTGGTCACAGTGCTTGGGAACCTGCTCATCCTCCTGGCCATCTGCTCTGATTCCCACCTGCACACCCCCATGTACTTCTTCCTCTCCAACCTGTCCTTTATTGATGTCTGTTTTAGCACCAGCATAATCCCCAAGATGCTGGTGAACATCCAGACAGAGAACAAAGCCATCTCCTACACGGACTGCCTTACTCAGGTGTATTTTACCATGTTTTTCCCCATCCTGGATACTCTACTCCTGACTGTGATGGCTTATGACCGGTTTGTGGCCATCTGTCACCCCCTGCACTACATGGTCATCATGAACCCACACCTCTGCGTCCTGCTGGTTCTTGTCACTTGGTTCATTGGTGTCATGACATCCCTTCTCCATATATCACTAATGACCCGTCTGACCTTCTGTAAAGATTTTGACATTCCACATTTTTTCTGTGAGCTGACACAGATCCTCAAGTTGGCCTGCTCTGATACCTCCCTCCACAGTGCATTGATATATTTTATGACTGGTGTGCTGGGTGTTTTCCCCCTTCTTGGAATCCTTTTCTCTTACTCACGAATTGCTTCATCCATAAGGAAGATGTCCTCACCTGGGGGAAAGCAGAAAGCATTTTCCACCTGTGGCTCTCACCTCTCTGTTGTTTCTTTATTCTATGGAACAGGCATTGGGGTCTATTTCACTTCTGCAGTGACTGACTCCTCCCAGAAAATCTCAGTGGCCTCCATGATGTACACAGTGGTCACCCCTTTGCTGAACCCCTTCATCTATAGCCTAAGGAACAAAAACATGAAAGGTGCCCTGGGAAGAATCCTCAGCAAAGCAGCGTCTTGTCTGTGATGTAGCTATTGGCCCCAGAACAAAGAAGTTTTGGGATCACCAAATGACACAAAAAACAAACAAACAAACAAAACCCCCTTTTTATTCTGTGATTCTTACTCTTGTTCTTTCACCCAGTCCTGAAGGATCTATGACTTTGCTCTTTCCTAGTTTTTATACAGTGTTTAGTCACTATTCTTCCTATACTTTCTTTGATGACTTGCCTGCCCTCTCTATTGTCCAACGATACTGCTTTTAGTCATCTTTCTCACTTCCACACTGGTGAGCTTTGAACCTGGGTTTGTAGCATTCACTATAACTTTTTAATCTCAATTGGTGGCACATAGTTCTTACACTAATTTATTTCTCTATTTTTGTGTTGGTTGTATGAATCATCAACAGTGTTTCTTTCTTTCTTTCTTTCTTTTTTTTTTTGGAGCCTTTCCACCGGGATCATAAATTGCATTTATTACCATTATTATATACTTTCATTTTCTTTTTTTTTATTAAATGATAGCTGTATACATTAATGCAAACATGGGGTACAGTGTAGTGTTTTCATATACATTTTGAAATACTTTCATCAAGCTGGTTCACATAAATTTCATGTCATTTGTATAGTCATTGTGTCAAAACATTTACATTCTAGTTCTAGAAAAGATCACTTGTACCCTTGTTAGACAGAAACATAGGTGATCTTTCAGGCTACCCTCCCACCACCCAGCCACCCTTCTCCCCTC